TAACAGATCTACTACCTTCCTATGCTCAGGTTAAACCACTGACCACACCAACTATCATTTGTCCCAGCCTACTTAACTTGCCTTGGATGACAAAATCAAGAGATAAGTAATACATAGAGGGTGGCTTTCGAAGGGTTGAAAAAGAAACCATAGCCTTGTTGATGAAGATTGATGAGAGGAAATCACAACTGGATAAGAAGGGGCCTGGTAAGGCACAGTTTCTGCCCCAAAGAGCAGAGGAATTGGGAAAAACAAGTTGGAAAACCTAAAATCCAGCTTGACTGAAGAAGTGGAAGGAAACAGAATCTGAGTTTAACTTTTAAATGAAAGTTAATCTGCTGACTGGAATGTAAGAGGGTTGAACAACCAGAGCAAGAGAGAAATGGTGAAGAGTTTAATGCAAAAACGGAAGGCGCGTGTCTAATGCTTTCAAGAAACAAAGATCAGCAAGGAAGTTGAAGTAATGGCTAACCAATTATGGTCATGCCTATGGATGAAATGTGCTTACCTGGAAGCTGAGGGTAGCTGTGGGGGGGGGGGGGGGGTCTTATGATGTGGGACAATAGAAGCTGGAGTGGCCTCTAGTTGAATCTGGGCAATACTCCATTACTTACGAGTTTGTATCAACTCATAACTTCTATACCTGGTACCTCAATGGAGTGTATCAACTGAGAACCATCTGTGATGGTCCTTGGGTCACCTGACTGTAATACCAACAGAACTATGGAAGAAAGAAGAGGACAAAATCTCTTTTGTTATGTCTGACTTCTCAACGTGGATACAAGAGACGGAATTACATGACCCACATTTACATTGGTGGAATCTTTTCTTGGTTTAGAGGCCTTAATCATCCAAGTGCAGCTACGCTAGATAGATTCATATTCTGTATGGAATGGGAAGAAAAATTCAAAAATATCAAGCAAAAGTTGCTACCTAGAGTGCTCTCTCACTACTGCCCTATCATGTTAGAATGTGGAAACTAGGAGAAGAAAAGGTCAAATTTCAAGTTTGAGAACTGGTGGCTCAAGGTGGAAGGCTTCACTGATCTGATTCAAGCATGGTGGAATGAATTCTTGGTGGAAGGATGCCCAAACTACAGACTAAATGTTAAACTAAGAATGCTCAAGGAAAAACTCAAGGAATGGCGCAATGCAAATTTTGGGAAGCTGGTAAATAAGAAGAATAGTTTACTTGAAGAATTGGCTGAAATTGATGAGTTACAGGGATCAAGAGATTTGACTGAAGATGAAATGAAGGTAAGAGCCACCATAGTAGTGGAGTTGGAAGAGCCGGCAAAAAATGAAGAATCAAAGTAGAGACAGAAATCAATAGTATTATGGAAAGAAAGGAATGCTAAATGTTCTGGGGATATGAGTAACAACATTCAGAAGAATATAATGAATAGCGTTAGCCTTTTGTATTTTAGGTGTAAACAAGATATGATGGGGGATACTGAACTTTTTGTTGATTTCATAGGCAATTTGTAATCTCTCTAGGGGTAGTTTTTATATGCTTTGATGAGATAGTAAGTGGCCTATGCTCATCATTATTTGATGATGAGACTTTTGTGACAGTTACCCTTATCTCAAAAAAAAAAAAAAAAAGAGAAAAGTTTGAGCCCTAGTTATGTTATAAATATGATAAGAAACATCAACCTGAACATGTGTGTAAGGCCAAGGCACATTTATTCTTATTGAAATTGGAAGTGGAGGTTGTATAAGAAGTAGTGGAGGAAGAAGAACAGGTTAATGTGGAATGGATGGCAAAGGCGCATGAAATCTCTATTGATGCTCTTAATGGGACAAGTGGTTATACAACATGGAGGGTTGCTGGTTATTGCCAAAGAAGACCTTTCAACATCTTAATTGATATTGGCTCCACTCAAAAGTCACAACTTCCTTGATAGAGCTTTAGTATCTAGGATGGGCTGGAAGGTGGACCCTTATCAGCTCCTTCATGCAAGCTTGGCAGATGGGAATCCAGTGCCAGTATAAGGAATTTGCTAGGGACTAGAATGATTACTGCAATGCATTGTATGACGTGGTTTTGGGAGTGTAGCAACTATGTGACTTGGACATCTTGCTTGACTTAAAGAAGTTGACTATGTTGTTTGAGCTCACTAAAGGGTGTGGTATCTTAAATGAAGAGAAGAGAAAGGGTAAAGAAGAGAAGAGTGAGCAGGATCAAGGAAAAGAACCAGTAGTGGTATTGCAGGAATATGAGGAGGTATTCATGGAACCAAAAGAATTGCCTCCCTTCATATGGCAATTTGATCATATCACATTGAAGGAAAGGTCCAACCCCATCAATACAAGGCCTGATACAACACAGTTTGTAACACATTTGCACATTTGTTTTTCTATTGGTGTTGGTAGGCAAGAAAGATGCCAGCTAAAGACTGTGAAAATTACAGCACTCCAAATCATATTACTATCAAAGACAAATATCACATACTCATCATACAAGAGTTGTTGGATGAATTGGGATGTTAATATGTGTATTCAAAGATAGACCTCAGATTTGGGTATCATCATATTATAATGACACCATCTGATGTCCACAAAACTTACTTTAGGACACATTATGAATATCTAATCATGCCTTTTGACCTAACTAATGCTCCTTCTATCTTCCAGATCTTAATGAATCGTGTCTTCAAGGAGTAATTGAGGAAATTCATCTTAATCTTTTTTGATGACATATTGATCTTCAGTTAGAACTTGGAGGAGCATGTTAAGCATTTGAGGGTTACTTTCATGCCAAAAGATCTAAGAGTCATTTTGCTACGGCAAGCATTGAGTTAGGTAATTGCATCTTCTTAGCTCAAAGAGGTTTCTACTAACCCTAAAAAAAGTCCAGATAGTTCAGTAACGGCCTATGCCTGCCAACACCAAATAGTTGAGGGGATTCTTAGGATTGGTCAGGTACTACAGAAGGTCCATAGAAGGATATAGACGGATTAACAAACCCCTAATTGATTTGCTGAAGAAAGTGGGTTCAATTGGACTGACAGATCAGCAGCAACATCTTCAAAGAAGGCTTTAACTTCAGCTTCAGTATTGACATTAACTGACTTCTCCTTGGTTTTCACTATGAAGATAGATGCATATGATGTAGATATTGGGACAGTACCGATGCAAAAAGGGCAAGCAATTGCTTATTTAAGCTAGCACATATCTAATCAACAAGAAGTTATGTATGTGTATGACAAAGAACTGCTAGCACTAATAATGGCTATGACAAAGCGGGGTCAGTAATTGGTAGCCAGAAACTTCACTGTCAACGCTGATCAGAAGGGTCTAAAATTCATATTAGAACTGAAATTGCACAAATGAAGCACAACTTAAATGGGTGAGTAAGTTGATGCAATTTTTTTTTTTTTTGAGAAAGTAGTAAGTTGATGCAATATGATTTTGAGATTTGAGTATAAGAAGGGGAAGGAGAACAAAGCAAATGCCTTCTTTACATTGTCCACAATGAGGACAAATCTAATGCAGGCCATAATGGATAGCTGAAATTGAAATATAAAACTGGTCAAGTAATTCATAAGTTGGATGTCCTCAAGGAGGATATCAAAGGTTATGCCCTTGTCAGCAAGCAGGGAAAATGGAAATTTGGTAGTAGAGTCTACCTTATCTTTAAGGATGGAAATGTTGAAGTTGTGCATGACTCTGTAGTTGGTGGTCAATTTGGGATTCATCACACCTACAGGCAAGTGGTTGCTTTTTAACTGGAAAGGTCTCAAAGATGATGCGGTTAACTATGTGGAGAAGTGTGATGTGTTTCAGAAAAGTAAATATGATCATTCTGCCTATCAGGGGTTATTCCATTACTAGCTTGGAATAGCATTAGTAACAATTTCATTGAAGTGTTGCCTAAGTCAGAAGGAAAGTTAAATGGGTAGAGGTCGATAGATAAACTAATTATGCATACTTCCTAGCACTGTCACACCCTTATTCTGCTTGTTGTGGATATTCTCAGGCTATTCATTAAGCATATCTTCAAACTTCATGCGATGCATGAGCATATTGTAAGTGATAGGAATCTAATTCTCACTTGTAAACTATGGCAAGAAATATTTACCATACAACGAGTAACCCTGAAAAACATCCATTGCATATAACCCTCGATCAGGTGTGCGGAGACCTACTTAAAATATTAGTGCACTGATTCACCTTCAAATTGGACACTCTATTTGAGTTTGCAGAATGATGGTATGCTACCACCTTCCATACTTCCATCCAAACCACTCCTTAAGAAGATTTGTATGGACAACCCCCTCCCCCGCATTTACCTTATGTTCAAGGTGACTGGGGTGAGTGAAGTAGACAAAAGTTTTAACTTTCAATTGCCATGGAATTCAAATTGCAGTTGCTTAAGTTTCAATGCTTCATCTATCCAGATCTCAGCACAAAATGGTAGACCATGCCAACTAGATAAGATCAGATAAGCAGTTTTCAAGGTGGGAGATCCGGTCTATCTTAATATCTAACCATACAGAAAACTGATTTTGTCTAGCAAGCATTTCTCTAAAATTTCTTCCAAATACCATGACCCCTATCAAATTATTCAGAAGATGGGAAATGCTGCTTATAAGCTTTCCTTACCAAAACAGTTACTATTACATCCTACCTTCTGTGTTTTTAATCAAACCCTACTATGAAATCCTAAATAAGATGGTACATTCTCCAATATCAGATTTATCCCGTCCTTACTGTCCTCAGTTTCGAGTTTTCTTGTTCAAGTTTAATTCAGTTATCTTGTTCAACTTAATTCAGTTTTCTTGTTCAACTTAATTCAGTTTTCTTGTTCAAGTTACATCATATCCTTTTACGCAAAGCACACAAAAGAGAATATTAACAATTAAAGCATTTTGTGGTAAAACAACTTAATAACAAGTGAGATTTTAATAGCTCAGTTGATTGACTACATGAACTTTCACCTCACTCAGTTAGCTAAAATAAGTTGTAAAGGTGCAGAATCTCAGACTAGAAAAGGTTTTACCACTGGGAAGCAGAAGATTGTGAGTCCATGTTGTTGTAAATTTGAGTGAACCGACCCCGATTTTCAGGTTTCGGCTTGACGGTTTTCTTCCGCAAACCAAAGATTTCTTGTACCAAAGGAACATGAACCAGCACTAATTTCCAAGCTAAAAACCAACCTGCACAAATCTCAGATCAAGTTCTTATTCTTATAGATAACCCAAATTGCAGATTCTTACCATGAAAATACAGACCTAATATAAGTAAGGAGAAGACGAAGACGATAGCAAGAAGGGGACGAAAGAGGAATAAACTGAGAAATTCCAACGATGATACGGAGGCATTCAGCTCATAGGAAGACGACTCCATGATTCGACTGAGGATGGAATTTTGTGGAATAATATGAGTTGATGTAGGAAGTAAAGTAGGCTTGACTAATTATTTTTGTAAATAAAATATGGCTTCATTTTAAAAAAAAATTTGCAAAATTTAAAAATTATGTCCAAGTTTTAAGTTTTATAAATTTAATTAAAATTATAAATTTGAAGTTGAAATTCTACCTTTGAAGTGAATTTTGGGATTTGATATTAGAATTTTAAGTTGAAGTTCAAGTTTTATTTAAAAATAAATAAACTAATACAGATCTAAAATTAAAATTTGAAATTGTATGTCTAAACGACTCCTTCATAACTCTTTATTTGGAGCGGGACAGATCTAATTTGGGAAAAGTGTTAAAAATGTCCTTAACGTATCCTAAATGGTTCAAAAATGTTCTCCTTCCACCTTTCGATTTAACAATGCCCTCAATGTTTTTGTTAATGTTTAAAATTGCCCTTTATTAACAGTCTAGTGACATGACCATGAATTTTCTTTATCCATTCCATAATATATGACCCACCTAGTCTAGAAATTCATTTCAAAAGATCTGACCCGATCTGTGATCTGCTCATCCTTTTTGAATTTTTTGTTCTCATTAGTTCTAACTCTCTTCTTTCTTTCTACCTCCTTCAATTCATCTTCTTTCTCCATTTCTCTAGTTAATTTGAGAAGAAGAAAAAAAAGGAAGAACTACAATGTTTGGACAATTCTCTAGATCAAGATTTGTCTAGTTGATGCTTTTGCAGATGGTTGGACAATCAATGACTGAACTACAAACTTACGACATGGATTTCGATAAATATCAGATGAAGATTTTGCAGATTTTCTAATTCTGTTGTAAGCAAGTTTTGAATTCAATTCGTTTGGTATATATTAAAGAAGTTACCTTGAAACTTAAGCCGTTTAGAATTCAAATTTCTCATAGAAGCTCAAAACAAAAAATAAACACAAAGCAGTGAATGATTAGATTTTTAATAGACCGTAAATTCTCCTTCTTAATTCGGATTTGGGACCGGCTATGTTATAGTATCATTCAAACACAGTTAAAGGTAATAACCTATCACTCATGCAGATAATTTGACTTGTCTTTGAAATACTGGTAATGAACTTGGAGAATAAATTTTTGGGATGAAAATTTTGTGAAAATCAAACAATGAACTATGATCTATTAATAAGAAAAGACCCCGTAGAACTGCAAAAGTTGAATACTGATACAAATCAACTTATATTGATGAGGATAAAAGAAAGTTGGAAGATATGTTAGTTAATATGAAAAAGGGTATTTGCGTTGGTTTGAGTTTTGTAGAATAGATGGGTCGAGTCGGGTCGTTGGGTTGGATTTAAAATTTAGATGGACCAATAAGACGAAGTAATTTGTCTAATTAAATGACTCATCATCTGCCATGTCACTGGGTTGTTAATAAAGGACAATTTTTAACATTAAAATTTTGTTTAGGGCATTTTTAAATTGAAAGGTGGAATAAGGGCATTTTTGAACCATTTGAAATACGTTAAGGACATTTTAAAATCTTTTTCCATCTAATTTTATAGTTGTATTGACAAAGATGTGAAGGGTGTAGGGATTGGACATGCGACAATAAAATAAGGACTTGTTTCAATATTCACCCACTTATCGATCAAAATTTTGAAAAAAAAATGAAAGTTATCATTTGGTGTCATTAACAGAGCACATATGTTGTGCACGTTACCACACTACCTTTAAATTAGGATTTCAGCTTATTTACAGTTTATTTAGGAGTCAAGTAGGATTGCTCACGTAACTTAATATGCTCCTATTTTCTAGGAATTAGCTTTGCACAATCTGTTTTGTTTGATGTGTATATAAACTCCATTGGAGTTTCATTAATGAATATACTACTTTCAATCTACTTCTCTAAACTTATATGGTATCAACGCCGAAATACTCTAACGAGTCGCCGATCAAAAATACAATTTTCTGCACTAATGGCCCCTTCCACCCGAGTTATCAATGCTGATACTGCCCCTGTTCTCAAACACTTGGTTCAGTTTAACCCATCATCTCAGTTGCCCATTAAGTTGTGTGGCAGCCATAACTTCACCATTTGGAAGGCTCAAATTGCCATGCTACTCCATGGCCATGACCTCTATGGTCAACTTGACGGGACCAAATTGTCCCCTCCCGAAACAGTTATCACTGACGGCTTTGTGACAGCCAACCCCGAGTACAAGGATTGGTTTCGTTAAGACAAACTCATCCAAAATGCTCTCATGGCCTCTGTTGATGCCACTATCGCTTCCATTGTAACTTCTGCGGCCAATTCTAAAGCTGCGTGGGATCAACTTCACACCTCATTTGCGAACAAATCGCAAACCCGCATCTTCAGCCTCCGTCACCATCTAAGTCGGGTAAGCAAAGACACCAAATCGATTGCTGAATATATGCGAGAGATTCTCTCTCTCTGATGAACTCACCACAACAGGTTCACCTGTCAATAATGAAGAACTTGTAGTGAAAATATTGAGCGGACTTGGTCCTGAATTTCGTGAGATCTCCGCTGCCATCCGGGCATGTGACTCACTCATTAGCTACGCTGAACTTTTCGATAAACTTCTTGATCATGAATTGTTCCTCAAACATGAAGACCTCAAGAGGACCACTACCCAGGTCACATCATCTGTTGCTCAGCGTGTCACAAAACTTCATCGGCCCAACGCAATAACCATTGCCGCCAACCCACCAATAACAATGGGCGCCCCCCAAACAGACAACATAATCAGAGCGCCACTTTCCAACATCCAAACGATTACTCTCAAGGGCGTAACTTTCCACACCAATCCCCACGGATTCGTTGTCAACTCTGTGACAAATTTGGCCATACAACAAATGTTTGCCGCTCCCAGTCCCATAACCACTTTGAAGCAAAGGAAAATTTTGTTGCGCACACGACGCCAAATGGCCCATGGATTGTCGATTCGGGTGCATCTCACCATATTGCAGCCGACACCAACTACCTCCACAATGTACAGGACTTCAAAGGGGCCGAGGAAGTGACCTTGGGTAATGGTAATGTGATTCCAATCACGCAAACTGGTAATACTCATTTAAATGCATCACATACTACCTTCAAACTCTCTAATATTTTGTGTGCTCCTGCCATCAAACGCAAGCTTATTTCGGTTAATCAGTTTTGCAAAGACAATCTAACCTCAATTGAGTTTTTTCCTTTTACCTTTCTTGTAAAGGATCTGACTACGGGAACTCCTCTTCTGTGCGGCTCGAGTAAAGCTGGACTATATGAATGGCCGTCCTGTCTCGACCAAACATCAACGTCGCTGCTACTGGACCTTCCTTACATTTGTGGTATCGCAGATTGGGCCACCCCATTCTCGCATTTTATTTTCCGTTTTAAATAATTCTCGTCTTTCATATTCTTCCAACGACAAGATCACTACTTGTAATTCTTGTTGTTGCAATAAAGTACACAGATTTCCCTTTTATTCCACCACTTTGTCCAGTAATTGTCCATTAGAAATTATCTACAGTGATCTGTGGGGACCCTCCCCGATTCTCTCTATTGACAAAAAAAGATATTATTGTTTATTTGTTGATCAGCACACCAAATACATTTGGTTGTACACAATGAAAAACAAACATGAAGTTCAGAAATTTTTTCAAAGTTTACATCCCGTGCTTGAAAAACACTTTGGTCACAAAATACTCACACTTTACACTGATGGAGGAGGAGAATATCAAGTCTTAGAACCATACCTTAAGTCCAATGGCATACAACACCTTGTCTCTCCCCCTTATACTCCTCAAAGGGTGGCATTGGCTGAACGATGTCATCGACACCTTGTCGAGACAGCCAAAATGTTGCGTCATCAAGCAAGTCTACCTTCAAACTTTTGGACATTTGCCTGCCATCATGCCACATTTCTCATAAATCGATTCCCAACCTCCACTCTTAATCACAAGTCTCCTTTTGAAATTCTTTTCAATAAACTGCCAAATTATGAATCCCTTCGTATATTTGGCTGTTTATGCTATCCATGGCTACAACCATATGCCCAAAACAAATTAGAGTCGTATTCCAGACCTTGTGTCTATCTCAGTTTTTCTGTCACTCATCATTGCCATTAGTGTTTTGACCCCAAAAGCTCCAAAGTTTTCCTCTCACGGGATATAAAATTTGTAGAAGATATTTTTCCATTTGATAATATATTTTCTACCTTAAAACAGAACTTTTCATATTTGACTTGGGAACATACTTCCAATTTTACTAATATTGATGTGGACAATACTTCAAATCCTACTCATCTCCAGCTATTACCCCACTATTCCGTTGATGCGAGACACACACCACGATTTATGCTCACTTCGTACCGCACAAAGGACCACCCCACAGTCGAATCACTTCATCACTGACACACCAGGTAATCTTCCAACTACTTCTCATGATATACCTCAGCAATCCTTTGTTGTTAATAGCCTGCCACCTCACTTCATATTTCAAAGCCCGCCCCCTGCTCACTCTACTCGTCCTCTCCCCTTACATTGCCGACCACCCATTACTTATAACACCCCAGAGAATTTTCGAACTAAGACTCGAGCCATCCTTCATGTGGAGTGGGATTTTACCGAGGAATAAAAAAATTTCTTGAGTGTTAAGTTAAGGTCCCTAGGTGTAGCACATTGAGTTCCAAGAAGAGTTGAATTGGAAATAGTCATTTTGGAAAGAATCTGGAAAATTTGGCTATGGAAAAAAGGTGAGTTTTTGGTCAACTTTGAACAGTCGTATCTCCTAGCTCAAAATGATTTAGGCGAATTTCCAGTTATGTCTGGAAAGCCCTTGGAATGATCTTTCCAACGCCGCCGAGTTTTCTTGATTCCGAGTTCGTATGAGTGACTTATGCCCTTTGGAAGTTGGGTTGTTGGCACAGTCGCACAGTGCAGTTTGTTTAGTCCGAAAATTTTAAGGGTATTTTGGTCTTTTCCCTAATCTTTTCTTTGGGTTATATTGAGGTGTTAGACTGATGTTTGGATCATTTTTGTCCCATTTTAAAGAGTGAGAGTAAGAGTGAGAGTTAGGGCTTGGAAGATAAGAGAGAAAGAAGAGGAAAAGAAGAGGAGAAAGAGAAGAAGAAGCTAAGGATCGTCGTGGATTTTTGTCGGGGGTGATCCCTAATCAGGTATGTGAGTCTTTAGTGTGGGTTTATCCTTTCCCCCCACATACCAAGCTCGTTTTTATGATTTGAGAAGAGATTGGATTTGTTGTTGAAGTTGTTAGTTGTTGTTGATGTTGTTAGTTGTGTTGTTGAAGTTATTGTTGGTTGTGGGACAGGATTGGGCTGTGTATTTGAGTTGTGACCTATTGTATATTGAGGGATTTTATGATCCTTAGTGTTGGTTGGTTCATACCCCCACACACCAACTCGTTTTTAATTCCAAGAGAAGATTTATTGGTTGTTGAAGTTGTAGTGGTGTTGTGTTGAAGTTCTTGCTGATTTAGTACAGATTTCTGGCTGTGATTTTTGAGTTGAATCTATTGTATAATAAGGGTCTTTATGATTCTAAGTGTTGCTGCTGAAACCTTGAGGTTGAGAGGGTTTAGAATTGGAAAGAAACAAGGGGAAAAAGTCGGATTTTTGGGGAAAAAGGGGCTGGGCTGTTGCACCTCTCCTAGTGCCAAGGACACCAATCCTTCCCTTTCATTCACCATTTCTTTTTTTATACATGTTCCTAGGTATTATACCTATGTTTCCTAGTTGTTTCCAACACTCCAAGGTACTTCCAAAAGTCAAGTAAAACTACAAGTCAAGTGAAGTTAGTTTCCAAGTCAAGTGAAGTTAGTTTCAAAGTCAAGTGAAGTTAGTTTCCAAATCAAGTGAAGTTAGTTTCCAAGTCAAGTGAAGTTAGTTTCAAAGTCAAATGAAGTTAGTTTCCAAGTCAAGTGAAGTTAGTTTCAAAGTCAAATGAAGTTAGTTTCCAAGTCAAGTGAAGTTAGTTTCAAAGTCAAGTGAAGTTAGTTTCCAAGTCAAGTGAAGTCAAGCTTAGAAGTAAGTAAGTCAAAACAAGTCTTTAAGGTTTTCCAAGAGTCTTCATTGATCGTTTTAACTTCATTTTAAGGCTCAAGTTAAGTAAAGAATGAAGAGTTCCAAGTTAAGAGTTTCAAGTTGAGTAAAGAGTTTCAAGTTGAGTCAAAGTATCGAGTTTCAAGTAAAGTAAAGAGTAAAGAGTTGAGTTCATTTCTCCAAGTTATTAGGGAACTATGTATTCCCAAAGAAGTTTTAAAGAAATGTTTTTACATTTAAACAAGGTTGGAAACTGAGATTTCCAAAAGAGCCTTCGGGCTAGTTTTTGAGTAATTATCTCATATCAGCAGGAATAAATATGTTTTAAAAACATAAGAGCCAGTACATTTTTGGGAGTAGTATCGAGCACCGAATTGGGGGAGCGTTCAAAGAACCCACAGCCCCCATAGAACCATGTTAGCCACCATGGGTAGAAAAGGATCATACTTTTTAGATGAATCCTTTTCAGATTAGACTAGTGGATCCATTAGGCAGTTCAGGTCTTATACCTTTGGCCGGGTATAAGATGCTCTGGCAGCGTGAGGTCGATCGCTGTATCATCACTATAGCTCTTATGTGATGGTTGTCGGTTAGAGAAACTCCCACAGCAGTTATTGTATTTTCATACACAGAAATTATTGTATTTTATATACATCAGTTCAATTGTATTTCTATATACATCTCAGGCTTATTGTATCCTTGTATACACTCAGAGTTTATAGCATGTTTTAAACAGTCTTTCTTTATATCGCACTTGTTTTAAATTGCCTTATATTGAAAGAAGTCAGTCAGGTTGAGTTCAGTTATTCAAGAGTCGAGTATCCTTGAGTTAAGTATCTTTGAGTTAAGTATATATCTTGAGTTAAGTATATATCCTTGAGTTGAGTATCTATCTTTGAGTTGAGTATCTATCTTTGAGTTGAGTATCTGTCTCTGAGTCCAGTATCTATCTTCTGAGTTGAGTAAGTTTGAGTAGTTTTGGGTATTCCTTGAGTTGAGAAAGTTTGAAAAGAGGTAAGTTATTCAATTTATTCCAGTTTTTCTTCTAGCCTATGTTGTTTAGTTTTCTAGCTTACATACTCGTACATTCCACGTACTGAGCCATTTGGCCTGCATCTTTTTATGATGCAGACACAGGTATTCAGGATCATCAACAGGAGATTCGTTGATACATCCGGGAGTTCCAGTTAGCTATGACAAGCCTCTTTGCTTCCGGAGGATTTCATTTACCTTTCAGTTGTATCAGTTGTTAGGAGGTCGTGGGTCTTGTCCCGGCTTCCATCTTTATCAGTTAGAGGCTTCATAGATAGACAATAGAGTTTCAGAAGTCTCTTCATTTATTTTGTTAAATGTTTTGAAGACTAAAGTTGCCTTTTATGGCGAGTTGTATATATATTCTATTATACAGAGTTTTCTTTTGAGTTAAAGATTTATAAAGTTGAGTTTATAAACTCTTATTCAGTTTTAAGCTCTTGTATGCTTAAGTTAGTATTCCGCTTGGAGTCAGCCAGGATGAGGGTTCGCTTGGGGACCAGAAATGGTCTTCGAGTGCCGGCCACGTCCAGGGTGTAGGCTCGGGGCGTGACAAACTTGGTATCAGAGCACAGAGTTCAAGTGTCCTAGGGTGTCTATGAAGCCGTGTCAGTAAGATCTTGTTTATGGTTGTGAGGGCCCCACTTCTATAAATGAGGGACTACAGACATTTAAGAAAAGTCTCCCTTTTTTTTCACACTCTTAATCGTGCAATAGAGCTAAGTCATGGAGATCTAATCTAACTCGTGCGTTCTTAGAATCTTTCAACTACCCATTATACTGGAGGTGGTTGAAAAGCAGAGTCAGTTTTTTTGTCGATGAGTTGTTCTTAGCAAGAGTCTTGAGAAAGTCATGAGGATTCAGAGGGGCTTAAGAGAAGCCCAAGAGTAAGTTAAGTGTTCAGTTTCAGAGTAATGCCTTCATATGAATCGTGCATTTGAGATAAAAGTGAGTTGTACTTTCTTCTCTAAGTATTGTTTCAGCTGAGATCCTTACGAGGAGGTATGTTTAGAGCTTGGGTATGATTTTCACCCGAAAGAGTAGCATGAGTTACGAGATCATGAGCAGTAGTAGAGAAAGAGCCTAGAGTTAGAGAGAAAAATATACAGAAGTTTAGTAATTTAAGTAAGGGAGATAGTGATGAGGCAAGCTATGTTATTGTAGTCATGCACCCAGTAAGTTATGAATGAGGAGTTGTCCCTTATGGGTAGACTAAGAAGTGATGAGTTGTGAAGATTACATCATAAGAGGAAGAGTGTGTTGTAGCTAGATAGGAGTTAGTGATGAAGTGTTATTGTGTAGAAAATGACCAAGTGCGAGTGTTGAAAAAAGAAAGCAGAGTATTCATGAGGTGTTAGATCTACGCTAGGCTTATGATTTTGAGGGAGGTCCCATAACATTCAAGTGGTATAGAATTATTGGGCATTGATGTATAGTGAATGAGTAAATAGTACTCAAGTTGTGAAGACTAAAGTTGCCTTTTATGGCGAGTTGTATATATATTCTATTATACAGAGTTTTCTTTTGAGTTAAAGATTTATAAAGTTGAGTTTATAAACTCTTATTCAGTTTTAAGCTCTTGTATGCTTAAGTTAGTATTCCGCTTGGAGTCAGCTAGGATGAGGGTTCGCTTGGGGACCAGAAATGGTCTTCGAGTGCCGGCCACGTCCAGGGTGTAGGCTCGGGGCGTGACATTACTCATGTTTATCGGCATCGCCCAACCTCATCACCCAATATACCGACACAAGCACCCATAGTTTAGGTTCCCCAAATAGAGCAAAATCGTGTAGTAACAAGGTCGCAAAACAACATCATCAAGCGACGCAAAATTCTTGACTATACTGTCCAAATAACCCTGCATGTACCTCCTACTCCTATAACCTACAAACAAGCACACACATTTTCATATTGGAGAGATGCTATGCAAGTTGAGTTTGATGCGTTGATGAAGAACCAGACTTGGGAGTTGGTTCCACCCGATCACACCCGCAATGTTGTTCCATGTAAGTGGTTGTTCCGAATTAAGACTAAGGCTGATGGATCTGTTGACAGGTACAAAGCGCGTTTGGTTGCCAAAAGGTTCACTCAAAGGTCTAGGGTTGATTTTCATAAGACATGCAGTCCAGTGGTCAAACCCACCACGATTCGTACCGTGCTCACCTTTGCTGTACAACGAAATTGGGCCTTACATCAACTTGATGTCAATAATGCTTTTCTTCAGGGGAAGCTTCACGAAAATGTATATATGTCTCAACCCCCTGGCTATGAAGATTCGGCACATTCTGACTAAGTTTGCCATCTCAAAAAGGCAATCTACGGACTGCGCCAAGCTCCTAAAGTTTGGTATGATGCACTCACCAATTCTTTGGTCAAAATGGGATTCCACATGTCTAAGTCTGATAATTCTCTGTTCGTTCTTCATAATATAGGAGTAACTATTTATGTTCTAATTTATGTGGACGATATCATTCTTACTGGCAGCAATGAAGTACTCCTTCAGCAAGTAGTTACCTCTCTTTCAAAAACATTTTCTCTCAAGTATCTTGGTTTACTGCACTATTTCTTAGGCATTGAGGTACATAGGGATGATGATGGCCTGTTTCTTAGTCAATCTAAATATATACAAGAGGTGCTACATGACACTAAGATGCAAGATTGCAAAGGCATCCACTTACCAATGAGTACATCGGCACCACTATTGGTAGATGACGGAGCTCCCAAAACTGATGGCACAGAGTATAGAAGTGTACTTGGAAAGCTCCAGTACCTTTCACTTACCCGACCTGACATCATCTATGCAGTAAACAAGCTTACTCAGTTCAATACCTTTCCCTCTGTGGCTCACTGGCAAGCAGTTAAACGGCTACTTCGGTATCTTAAAGAAACATTCCTTTCAATTCTTTCAACCGATTTGGCAACTTTCAGCTATACAAAGTTAGGTGATTTACTGGGTCGGCATTCATCTTGATTTCGGCCTTTATTTTCTTCCTTTGAAATGATTGACCTGACCGGCTTGAAACTTGATTTGATTATCTAAGGAATCCCAGTATGGTGTCCATATTTCCCCACAACAGTCCACCAATCTTTCTGCTTATGCTGATGCGGATTGGGCAGGTGATATTAATGATCGCCGCTCAATATCAGGTTACATTATCTTTCTCGGCATAACACCAATTTCTTGGTGCTCTCGTAAGCAACCGACTGTCTCTCGCTGCTCCACTGAAGCAGAATATAGGGCAGTTGCTTCTGCGTTGTCTGAAACAAACTAGATCACTCACTTGCTCAAGGATCTACATGTGCCGCTCTCTGTTGTTCCCACAATACTTTGCGATAACCTTGGGGTCACATGCATAGTTGAAAACCCACTTCATTAAACAAAAATGAAGCACCTCGAGGTTGATTTTCACTTTGTTCGCAACCAAGTTTGCAATGGCCTAGTTAAAGTCTCACACGTTCACTCCGCTGATCAAATTGCAGATCCACTCACCAAACTATTGTCTAAAACAGCCTTCCAGCGCATGCTTCCCAAGTTACGTGTTGTCTCTTCACACATACCTTGAGGGGGGCGTAACAGAGCACGTATGTTGTGCACGTTACCACACTACCTTTAAATTAGGATTTCAGTTTATTTACAGTTTATTTAGGAGTCAAGTAGGATTGCTCATGTAACTTAATATGCTCCTATTTCCTAGGAGTTAGCTTTGCACAATCTGTTTTGTTTGTTGTGTATATAAACTCCATTGGAGTCTCATTAATAAATATACTACTTTCAATCTACTTCTCTGAACTTATATTTTTTTACTTCCAAGCCTCAATTCACCAAAGTGTTGCGTCTGAAAATATCATAGATAAATAAGTATACACAACAACAATAATTCAAAATTCAAGGGACCATGATTTATCTTTTCAAAGAATTTGTGATCTTCACTCCAACAACGATTAATAGTAGCTAGAATTAGAGAAGTTTGTTAGTTAGATCAAACCTATATCTACCCCATTATTCTAGAATTGTAACTCATTTAAATTTTCATCGAAATACAATATTATTCTCTATTGTTCACTGCAACCATTTGATTATACAAGCATTTGTTCATTATTCAAGCAATTTATCGTATTGTTCCAAGAGATTGAATAAGAATCCTCTTTCTTTTCCTATTCATTTCCTCGATTTTTATTATATGTCTCGCCTAACTTCTTAATTATCATTCATTGCTTCGAACCTTAAATCAAAGATTTATAGAGAATTAAATTAGTTTCGTTGTTATAGATCTCTTTCAAATAAATTTAACTATTTTTTTTAATAATGAATTTTAGACTAATCAATTGGCACGCACCGTAAGGCCTTAACATAATAATTATTTCAATACTAAGAGGTGAGGTTTGACTTTTGGCCATAAGGTCCTAGTGGACGAGAGTTTCTGAATTTGTACCTAGTATTTGTAAGTTAGTGTAGTAAGCGAGCAATCATATTAATATTCGGGTTTAGTCATAAACCTTAAGCTTGAATTTGAGATGAGTGTCTTGACCAAAGAAATGGCAACATGAGAGTGATGATGCTAGTCTTGAGATTTGATCTAGTAGACTTGACATAGAGTAAGTGAGGAATTAAGGTGATTAGTCGCAATAAATATGAGTGGTACAAGTGAGAGACCCTAACCTTTAGATAAGGGCAATGAAGTGTGATTAAGTCACCAGAGTAACAAAAGCGTTAAGAGGTGTACCGAGAGTGTATGTAACCAGAAGAAGTTAAAGGAAACACCTTTGAAAGAGGACTTAGCACCGCTTATAGAGAGTTTGGTAGGCATGAGATAAATTTCTCCCAAGTGTTAGATTAAAAGAAGAGGTAAACAAGTTAAATATGTGGAATAGGTCCATAGCTTTCAAGTGTTAGCTTTAGACCTAAGGGGGAGATGTCAAGATGAGAAATGGAGTCAAGTGTTTTAGATTAAGATGGTAATGAATTCAAAGAGTTTGCGAGATATCTTTTCAGAGGCCATTTTAGAAATGGAGTGGTGTTAAAAAGAGGAGGTTGATGTTCTTATCGTGTTGTGATGGTGGGATAGTTCCATTTAAGTTTTTTTTTTTTTAACACTGAGGAAGAAAAGGATGAGGTTTTACTATGAGAAATATTCAAATGAGAGCCCTTAGTTGGATCTAAAGGAGTGGTTAGTAAGAGTCCATGGAGTGTTAGAATACTAAGCTTTAATGTGGTGTTAAAGAGTTATAGTCTTGGGATAAGATTCCCTATAGAGAGGTATAGAATCCGAACCTAAGGATTTAGGTTAAGCTTGAATATGGTAAGAGCAGACCATTAGACGCAGACCTTAGTAAGAGTAGACCCTTCCATACCAAGACTAGCCGTCATTCGAGGACGAATGATTCCAAGGGGGAGATATTGTAACACCCCAGAGAATTTTCGAACTAAGACTCGAGCCATCCTTCATGTGGAGTGGGATTTTACCGAGGAATAAAAAAATTTCTTGAGTGTTAAGTTAAGGTCCCTAGGTGTAGCACATTGAGTTCCAAGAAGAGTTGAATTGGAAATAGTCATTTTGGAAAGAATCTGGAAAATTTGGCTATGGAAAAAAGGTGAGTTTTTGGTCAACTTTGAACAGTCGTATCTCCTAGCTCAAAATGATTTAGGCGAATTTCCAGTTATGTCTGGAAAGCCCTTGGAATGATCTTTCCAACGCCGCCGAGTTTTCTTGATTCCGAGTTCGTATGAGTGACTTATGCCCTTTGGAAGTTGGGTTGTTGGCACAGTCGCACAGTGCAGTTTGTTTAGTCCGAAAATTTTAAGGGTATTTTGGTCTTTTCCCTAATCTTTTCTTTGGGTTATATTGAGGTGTTAGACTGATGTTTGGATCATTTTTGTCCCATTTTAAAGAGTGAGAGTAAGAGTGAGAGTTAGGGCTTGGAAGATAAGAGAGAAAGAAGAGGAAAAGAAGAGGAGAAAGAGAAGAAGAAGCTAAGGATCGTCGTGGATTTTTGTCGGGGGTGATCCCTAATCAGGTATGTGAGTCTTTAGTGTGGGTTTATCCTTTCCCCCCACATACCAAGCTCGTTTTTATGATTTGAGAAGAGATTGGATTTGTTGTTGAAGTTGTTAGTTGTTGTTGATGTTGTTAGTTGTGTTGTTGAAGTTATTGTTGGTTGTGGGACAGGATTGGGCTGTGTATTTGAGTTGTGACCTATTGTATATTGAGGGATTTTATGATCCTTAGTGTTGGTTGGTTCATACCCCCACACACCAACTCGTTTTTAATTCCAAGAGAAGATTTATTGGTTGTTGAAGTTGTAGTGGTGTTGTGTTGAAGTTCTTGCTGATTTAGTACAGATTTCTGGCTGTGATTTTTGAGTTGAATCTATTGTATAATAAGGGTCTTTATGATTCTAAGTGTTGCTGCTGAAACCTTGAGGTTGAGAGGGTTTAGAATTGGAAAGAAACAAGGGGAAAAAGTCGGATTTTTGGGGAAAAAGGGGCTGGGCTGTTGCACCTCTCCTAGTGCCAAGGACACCAATCCTTCCCTTTCATTCACCATTTCTTTTTTTATACATGTTCCTAGGTATTATACCTATGTTTCCTAGTTGTTTCCAACACTCCAAGGTACTTCCAAAAGTCAAGTAAAACTACAAGTCAAGTGAAGTTAGTTTCCAAGTCAAGTGAAGTTAGTTTCAAAGTCAAGTGAAGTTAGTTTCCAAATCAAGTGAAGTTAGTTTTCAGTTAGTTTCAAAGTCAAATGAAGTTAGTTTCCAAGTCAAGTGAAGTTAGTTTCAAAGTCAAATGAAGTTAGTTTCCAAGTCAAGTGAAGTTAGTTTCAAAGTCAAGTGAAGTTAGTTTCCAAGTCAAGTGAAGTCAAGCTTAGAAGTAAGTAAGTCAAAACAAGTCTTTAAGGTTTTCCAAGAGTCTTCATTGATCGTTTTAACTTCATTTTAAGGCTCAAGTTAAGTAAAGAATGAAGAGTTCCAAGTTAAGAGTTTCAAGTTGAGTAAAGAGTTTCAAGTTGAGTCAAAGTATCGAGTTTCAAGTAAAGTAAAGAGTAAAGAGTTGAGTTCATTTCTCCAAGTTATTAGGGAACTATGTATTCCCAAAGAAGTTTTAAAGAAATGTTTTTACATTTAAACAAGGTTGGAAACTGAGATTTCCAAAAGAGCCTTCGGGCTAGTTTTTGAGTAATTATCTCATATCAGCAGGAATAAATATGTTTTAAAAACATAAGAGCCAGTACATTTTTGGGAGTAGTATCGAGCACCGAATTGGGGGAGCGTTCAAAGAACCCACAGCCCCCATAGAACCATGTTAGCCACCATGGGTAGAAAAGGATCATACTTTTTAGATGAATCCTTTTCAGATTAGACTAGTGGATCCATTAGGCAGTTCAGGTCTTATACCTTTGGCCGGGTATAAGATGCTCTGGCAGCGTGAGGTCGATCGCTGTATCATCACTATAGCTCTTATGTGATGGTTGTCGGTTAGAGAAACTCCCACAGCAGTTATTGTATTTTCATACACAGAAATTATTGTATTTTATATACATCAGTTCAATTGTATTTCTATATACATCTCAGGCTTATTGTATCCTTGTATACACTCAGAGTTTATAGCATGTTTTAAACAGTCTTTCTTTATATCGCACTTGTTTTAAATTGCCTTATATTGAAAGAAGTCAGTCAGGTTGAGTTCAGTTATTCAAGAGTCGAGTATCCTTGAGTTAAGTATCTTTGAGTTAAGTATATATCTTGAGTTAAGTATATATCCTTGAGTTGAGTATCTATCTTTGAGTTGAGTATCTATCTTTGAGTTGAGTATCTGTCTCTGAGTCCAGTATCTATCTTCTGAGTTGAGTAAGTTTGAGTAGTTTTGGGTATTCCTTGAGTTGAGAAAGTTTGAAAAGAGGTAAGTTATTCAATTTATTCCAGTTTTTCTTCTAGCCTATGTTGTTTAGTTTTCTAGCTTACATACTCGTACATTCCACGTACTGAGCCATTTGGCCTGCATCTTTTTATGATGCAGACACAGGTATTCAGGATCATCAACAGGAGATTCGTTGATACATCCGGGAGTTCCAGTTAGCTATGACAAGCCTCTTTGCTTCCGGAGGATTTCATTTACCTTTCAGTTGTATCAGTTGTTAGGAGGTCGTGGGTCTTGTCCCGGCTTCCATCTTTATCAGTTAGAGGCTTCATAGATAGACAATAGAGTTTCAGAAGTCTCTTCATTTATTTTGTTAAATGTTTTGAAGACTAAAGTTGCCTTTTATGGCGAGTTGTATATATATTCTATTATACAGAGTTTTCTTTTGAGTTAAAGATTTATAAAGTTGAGTTTATAAACTCTTATTCAGTTTTAAGCTCTTGTATGCTTAAGTTAGTATTCCGCTTGGAGTCAGCTAGGATGAGGGTTCGCTTGGGGACCAGAAATGATCTTCGAGTGCCGGCCACGTCCAGGGTGTAGGCTCGGGGCGTGACATTACTCATGTTTATCGGCATCGCCCAACCTCATCACCCAATATACCGACACAAGCACCCATAGTTTAGGTTCCCCAAATAGAGCAAAATCGTGTAGTAACAAGGTCGCAAAACAACATCATCAAGCGACGCAAAATTCTTGACTATACTGTCCAAATAACCCTGCATGTACCTCCTACTCCTATAACCTACAAACAAGCACACACATTTTCATATTGGAGAGATGCTATGCAAGTTGAGTTTGATGCGTTGATGAAGAACCAGACTTGGGAGTTGGTTCCACCCGATCACACCCGCAATGTTGTTCCATGTAAGTGGTTGTTCCGAATTAAGACTAAGGCTGATGGATCTGTTGACAGGTACAAAGCGCGTTTGGTTGCCAAAAGGTTCACTCAAAGGTCTAGGGTTGATTTTCATAAGACATGCAGTCCAGTGGTCAAACCCACCACGATTCGTACCGTGCTCACCTTTGCTGTACAACGAAATTGGGCCTTACATCAACTTGATGTCAATAATGCTTTTCTTCAGGGGAAGCTTCACGAAAATGTATATATGTCTCAACCCCCTGGCTATGAAGATTCGGCACATTCTGACTAAGTTTGCCATCTCAAAAAGGCAATCTACGGACTGCGCCAAGCTCCTAAAGTTTGGTATGATGCACTCACCAATTCTTTGGTCAAAATGGGATTCCACATGTCTAAGTCTGATAATTCTCTGTTCGTTCTTCATAATATAGGAGTAACTATTTATGTTCTAATTTATGTGGACGATATCATTCTTACTGGCAGCAATGAAGTACTCCTTCAGCAAGTAGTTACCTCTCTTTCAAAAACATTTTCTCTCAAGTATCTTGGTTTACTGCACTATTTCTTAGGCATTGAGGTACATAGGGATGATGATGGCCTGTTTCTTAGTCAATCTAAATATATACAAGAGGTGCTACATGACACTAAGATGCAAGATTGCAAAGGCATCCACTTACCAATGAGTACATCGGCACCACTATTGGTAGATGACGGAGCTCCCAAAACTGATGGCACAGAGTATAGAAGTGTACTTGGAAAGCTCCAGTACCTTTCACTTACCCGACCTGACATCATCTATGCAGTAAACAAGCTTACTCAGTTCAATACCTTTCCCTCTGTGGCTCACTGGCAAGCAGTTAAACGGCTACTTCGGTATCTTAAAGAAACATTCCTTTCAATTCTTTCAACCGATTTGGCAACTTTCAGCTATACAAAGTTAGGTGATTTACTGGGTCGGCATTCATCTTGATTTCGGCCTTTATTTTCTTCCTTTGAAATGATTGACCTGACCGGCTTGAAACTTGATTTGATTATCTAAGGAATCCCAGTATGGTGTCCATATTTCCCCACAACAGTCCACCAATCTTTCTGCTTATGCTGATGCGGATTGGGCAGGTGATATTAATGATCGCCGCTCAATATCAGGTTACATTATCTTTCTCGGCATAACACCAATTTCTTGGTGCTCTCGTAAGCAACCGACTGTCTCTCGCTGCTCCACTGAAGCAGAATATAGGGCAGTTGCTTCTGCGTTGTCTGAAACAAACTAGATCACTCACTTGCTCAAGGATCTACATGTGCCGCTCTCTGTTGTTCCCACAATACTTTGCGATAACCTTGGGGTCACATGCATAGTTGAAAACCCACTTCATTAAACAAAAATGAAGCACCTCGAGGTTGATTTTCACTTTGTTCGCAACCAAGTTTGCAATGGCCTAGTTAAAGTCTCACACGTTCACTCCGCTGATCAAATTGCAGATCCACTCACCAAACTATTGTCTAAAACAGCCTTCCAGCGCATGCTTCCCAAGTTACGTGTTGTCTCTTCACACATACCTTGAGGGGGGCGTAACAGAGCACGTATGTTGTGCACGTTACCACACTACCTTTAAATTAGGATTTCAGTTTATTTACAGTTTATTTAGGAGTCAAGTAGGATTGCTCATGTAACTTAATATGCTCCTATTTCCTAGGAGTTAGCTTTGCACAATCTGTTTTGTTTGTTGTGTATATAAACTCCATTGGAGTCTCATTAATAAATATACTACTTTCAATCTACTTCTCTGAACTTATATTTTTTTACTTCCAAGCCTCAATTCACCAAAGTGTTGCGTCTGAAAATATCATAGATAAATAAGTATACACAACAACAATAATTCAAAATTCAAGGGACCATGATTTATCTTTTCAAAGAATTTGTGATCTTCACTCCAACAACGATTAATAGTAGCTAGAATTAGAGAAGTTTGTTAGTTAGATCAAACCTATATCTACCCCATTATTCTAGAATTGTAACTCATTTAAATTTTCATCGAAATACAATATTATTCTCTATTGTTCACTGCAACCATTTGATTATACAAGCATTTGTTCATTATTCAAGCAATTTATCGTATTGTTCCAAGAGATTGAATAAGAATCCTCTTTCTTTTCCTATTCATTTCCTCGATTTTTATTATATGTCTCGCCTAACTTCTTAATTATCATTCATTGCTTCGAACCTTAAATCAAAGATTTATAGAGAATTAAATTAGTTTCGTTGTTATAGATCTCTTTCAAATAAATTTAACTATTTTTTTTAATAATGAATTTTAGACTAATCAATTGGCACGCACCGTAAGGCCTTAACATAATAATTATTTCAATTTATTTTAATTCTTCGTTGATTTTGTGTATTCATAGAAATTATGGTTGACAAACAATGATTGAATGCTTTTCTAGTCATTAAACATATGATGTTCTTGAGATTTCAAACCCCAATGAAATTTTCAACAAAGATAACCTTATGGATATATACGGAGACTCTGAGAACGATAGAGAATAAGAAAGTAACATAAATTAGAGTTAATTTGTGGGCTTTGTAATAGTCATATACCCCTTACGAATCATTGCATCAGGGGTGCTCCATGATTAAACCGTGGATAGTGAAGGAATAACACAAGGAACTCTTCACTTGGCAACATGCTATGAACACGAAGCTAGACAGTGTGTTAGTCGATAATGCAAACAATGGATCACTCCTGCAACCAAAGACAATTCTGGTCAGAGGAATACCAAACCTTACAACGAAAAGTTCTGGTGTAACATATATCTCTGAAAATTCTGGGGTGATTCAGGAACCCAGGAAACTCGGGGGTTAAGATGGTGGTTCAAGGGACCATATATGGTACATCTCTCACTGAACTGTTGAGCGTTATCATAAAATGAATACTTAATAGGTATGAAAGCATGATTTGAAGTTTTGTTGTGAAATCAATTTTTGTTTATGAAATTTGCACAAAATTTCACCTTCAACTTCAAATCATGATTTCAAATCTCAAACTCTACAAAAAATAAGATTTCAAATTTCAAATTGTGATTCCAACTTTTTAAAATATAAAATTTGATCCATAGGCTTATATTTTATTAAAAAAAGACCCATAACTTTAAATTTTACCACAAATAAAGGACTCATACTCGACTTGAAGAGATTTTGTGTCACGTAAAGGATTTTGTAAAAGAAAAGCTAGTTGCTACTATTGTTGATTTATTGGATCAATTAATCTTTGTAAATTTATATGTGTGTAGAAAAGGAAGTTTTATTGATAAATCCTTATTAAATTTTGGATTAAATATTAATTCATGATAAGTTGACCAAGTCAAATTATTAGTTAATAAAGTTGGACTAATATTTAAGTTAAAATTATATAACTTAAATAAAGTCTAAATTACATTTGTGACAATCTGTTAAGTTGACTAGAGGTGCCCAACTCATGCTCTTCAAGCTCAAGGTCTTCTAAATTTACTTGAAGAGCAAAATACCTCTAAAACCCTAGATCAAGCCTATATAAAAATGCCTTCATAAGACAACAAAGAAAGAAAGAAATACTAATTTTCAAGAGAAAGTCAAACAAATTTTTGTTGATTACGTCATATAAAGAAATCTCGAGCAGTAGTTGAAGACACAATATTCTTCACTAAGATAAATATGATCTTAACCGAATCAAACTAATTTGGTTCAACGTTCAATTGCATACTTTTTCAAAATAAAAAGTTGAAAAATCAAATCAAAGTTCCATAAAAAGCGAATAAAAGGATCAAACATCCACCTCTGAAAAAGACACAATTTCCTATCATTTTTAAGAACTTGTGTTTTCAAAAAAAATTATCCAACCCATAGGAAAATTGAAATATTTCTTTCATACCCAACACCCCTGTAATGAGCTTCATTTTCAGTCCTTTTCTATCGAACCCGAACGAAAGTTGAGAATCTTCATCAATACTGCTAATGGAGAACACAGTGCCGATTTCCACTACTGCTCCATCAAACTCTGGTACTGGCAATCGCCGATCACAGCCACGCTACTTGTACTGTAGCTGCTTCAGGCGCTGCTGTCGCTGTTTCTGCTGCTTCTATTCCTACCCATGATTCACTGATCAGATTCTCTTAACTGCTTGTAAATATACGGTGTCTTTTCAGTACATAAAAGTGTTGTACAGTTTTCGCTTTGTATTATACTTTTCACCCTTTTGTTGAATAAAAAATCAATTGATGATGTATACCTTTTGTTGGCTAAAGTGAATTAGTTTATGTGTAGTTGTAGAATTAGGAAACAATTGATGATTTCTCTGTGCTCTTCGTATGTACTGGCGAGTTTAATTGTTTTATGGCAAGTTACTTAGTGTCGTGTGACTGAAAATTGAGATGACAGATATATAATGAGTTAGTTGAATTTGTTGCTAACCAGTATTATGAACAAGTATGTGAACTTGGGCCTTTTTGGTGTGGCTTCCTTGTGAAATTCCTTTATGGTGTTTGGTTGCTGAAATTATTGGAAATAATTTAATAAATAAGTGCGTGCAACATTTTCTACTTCCTTCCTACTCCACCGAAAACTTGCTACTGTTGAGGCAAGTGATTTTCTTAGCAAAGCATTTTCTGCGTAAAATATGAGCTTTTGGAATTTTCTTACTTTGTACCAAACATGGTTTTGCTCCTTTACCTGAAAAAGATGGATGCTGAGAATGAGAATTCAGGACTGGTGACTACTTGAGTTGTATGGTCTCATGTGCTTTTGGTTAAGAAATCTCCATACCCAATAAAATCATGCATCAAAAGATTTCTCTAACTGCTGGAATGTTTGGCTGTTTGTAAAAGTAAGTATGCTATTGCTATATACACACAGTCAATACATTTGGTATAGTATAAGATTCACCTGTCCTGAATAAATCCAAAAATTGTTGAATTAGACAAGTGATTCCATCGTTTCTGGTTCAATAAGAGACAAATTGTCCGGACATAGTTTTTCAAATGAGGAATCAAGCCATTACTTTGTAACTGCTTTATATATGTGAAGAATTTCTTGCCTGCATTGGCGACATGCAATTGGAGAGCATCATTAAGTAGAAGAAAAATTAAGTGTCCAATAATTATGTGACGGTTCAGAGCAGTTATGTGACTTCTGAAAAAAGTGTTGATGTAAGTAGTGTGGATACAAGCACACATCAGAAGTTATGTTGAAGATAGAAGATGGATGACATGCATACATGACCTAGAAGGCATCTATTAGCTGCTGAGGTATGTGGTACTGTTCCCAGTAGCTATATGCAATTGTAAAGATTGATATATGTGTGGGTGAAATCCTATTTCATTGCTATTACAGCTGAAATGGAACAGTAAGGCTTATTCAATCACTATGGTTTGAGCCAAAGATGTGATTTACTGTCTAATTAGAGCTACCAATCTGAGAGTTTTCAGGACTTCAACTTGTCAAGCTGTAAGTTGACTTCTTAGCTCACATTATAATCTATCAATCTCAAAGAAGTTGTCCCTTTCATAGTGGCCACGTGTGGGAGAAGGGTGGTGAAAGAGCATTATATCTATGATTGGAACCATTTAAACAAAATAGTTGATTGCTTTACTTATAGGAAGGACAAAGTGTTTGATGCATCTATGTTGTAGATATATTTTGGCGTGAATATATGTACAATGAGATTAAAGCAAGGATAAAAAACACTTTTTCTATAGTAACAGAATGAACAAGGGTAGAAATTAATGTGGAAGTTCTAGCAAAAGAAAAGGTAAATATTCAGAACTTTAACAAGAAAAGCCCAAAACTAATGTTTCGTCATGAAAAAGGCAACAAATCACTGTTACAACCATATTGGCCAGAATATGTCCTCCTTGGGTAGTAAAGGGCCAAAGTCACTGCTTCTGGAAAGCTATGTCCAGAACAGAAGGGCAAATGGAGCTGCACTCAGTAAAGCTGATCCCAGAGAATTCAGGGTCGTTTGGTTTGAATACTAGTTATGTTGGGATTAGTTATGCTGGGATAAGTTATACTGGGATAAGTTATGCTGGGATTAGTTTTTATTGCTTGTTTGGTTTGTCATATTCAAACTAATATTCATTGTATAATTTTTGAGAATAAGTTGTTTGTTTACAAAAATACCCTCACCTTATTTAGTTTTTTTTTTATTACATTTTCTTTGCAAGCTTTAGTTATTCATTCTTAAAAATAAAATTTCCATCTTATTTAGCTTAAATATTTTTGTTTGTGCATTTCCATGATTGTACCGTATGTTTTAAAAATTATACTTTCATCTTATTTAACTTAAAAATTAAACTTTCATCTTATTTAGCTTAAAAATAAAATGTTCATCTTATTTAGTTTAAAAATAAGATTTTCATCTTATTTAGCTTAAAAATAAAACTTTCATCTTATTTAGTTTAAAAATAAAACTTTCATCTTATTTAGCTTAAAAATAAAACTTTCATTTTAAGTTTATTAAAGTAAAAGAAAATTTATTATTAAAGTTATCTACATTTTAATTATAGATAAAATATAATTTTTAAGTGAGTAATAAACTATTTAATGAAAAATATGTAATGAGTAATGGAGTGAATATTTCAAGGGAAATCAAAATATAAATAAACATAATAATTACGCAAATAAATTCACTTATAATATATTCATAAATAAAAATTGTATTTATAAAATATAAATTTTGAATAGAAAAATATATTTATCATAAAAAACAACGAATAATTAAGGTTGTGAATGTTATTATAAATGTTGTTAAAAATTATGTTAATATGTTTGAATGTAAAAGTGGTGTATAAAAGAGAGTTTAAGGGGGTATTTTTGTTAATTTACACACCTTATCCCAGGATAACTTATCCTGGGATTACTATACCACCCCGAGTGAGAGATAACTTATCCCAGGACTAATTGTTAATCCTGTGATAAATTATCCCTACCTTTGCAACCAAACAATGAATTAAAGGCCACTAAAAAGTTATCCCAGGATTAATTCCTCTTATTCATCACACCAAACGACCCCTCAGTGGCAGAACTAGGATTCACTAAGGGGGTTCAAAATATGAAGCAGTAAACACACGAAGAAGCCGAAGGGGGGGCTCAAAATCTACTATATATACATAAAAATAATTTTAATCATGTATACATAGTATAATTTTCCTTTGAACATATATCATATATGTCCAACCTTGATGAACATTGTATGCTTATAGATGATAAAAAGCAAATTTCATTAGGAAATCCTATAGTAAGCAGCTTAGAATCTTAGTTGGCTAGGTATCTCGTTTCTCCCATGCAGCATAAACAGACCTCATGACAATATTTTCGGGACTATATTTAAATGTTACACAATCTAATTCCTTTATTTAAAAGTGACCTCTGATGCTGCCTTCTTAATGTGCTAAAAGCCTGTTTATACCAGCATACTTGTGATGCTGTCTGATGTATACAAAATCTTACCTTACCAAAAGAAAGGTGCTAAAAGCCAAAATGCTCTTCTAGTTTTGAAGTATCCAATTAGTCACCATTTGATATCCTTAAAGGAGGACTTCCACTAGTGTGTGCATTAAATCAATTTTGTTGAATTGCTTATTCTTTGTTGTTGATTGAAACTGAAATATTTGTACAATTAATTGAATTGGGCAGAATTTATGATGTTTTAGTATGCTTTCCAGAAACTGTGGACAAGTAGAAATTTTCAAGAGAGCATTTCCCTTTCATTGCACTCTCATTAATGTTGTTTTCCCAAGGATCTTTAGGGTGGAATTTTAAAATGGATATGAGGTCAATTACTTGAGAATGGGAAGTAGCGCCGCAACTCTAGACCAAATGAATGGCAAGTGCGTAAGCACAAGTTTTTTGTTTTTCCTTTCCTTTCGTAAACAACGAATCAAAATTTGAGTCTGTCTGAAAGTGGCACGAACTTAAGGCGCTACTTAAGCTTAGTCGATAGTCGTTCCGGTCCTAGCTGTCTCTAGATCTAGGAAGTCAATCTAATCTCTCTTTTCTGCCTTGGTCAAAGTTGGCGTGTCCAACAGTGTGATGGGTCTGCTTTGTTTTCTTTTCCCCTCTGTTGTATCTTTAATAACAGTGATATCCATGCCTTGGACATGCCTTACCAATCCAGGGTGCTTACTACCTCCCACCAGCACATGTATTGATATTTCACTTTTTCCCATTTTTTTTTATGAAGATATTTCACTTTTTCCCATTAAGATCAAGACGTCTGAACTTGAATGCACATCTGAATATTAGAATGTGCATCAAAGATTTAGATTTCTGAATGAATACACATCTCAATATTAAGATGTTGTATGAAGATCTGAATACAATATAATTAAGATGGTTCGTTTTCTCAACATTTGAAAAAATAAAAACTTATCTTTATTATCTAAAAATTAATAAATATAAATTTAAATAAAATACTAAATTGATCTAATACTATATTAATAAAATATTTTTAAAAAATCATGCCAGTTGGAGGTGATGATGAACAATGGTGGTTCATGGTTGTGACTTGTGGGTGCTGATTGGGGATTGTCTTGGGTGATGGTAGCGCTTTGGGTAGCAACTAGTTGTAATGGTGGCTGACAATAGTGATTAACAATGATTGTTGATTGTGATACTTAGTTGTGAAAATTAAAAATTGTGATGGATGATAGTGATAGCTAATGGTGATAGTGAACGATGACGATGATTGGCGATATATAGTGGTGAATGTCGTTAGTGCTTGGTGATTGGTGGTGATGATTGTGAATGATGACTTATGGTGGTAGTGATAGGTGATGGTATTTGATAATAGTGGGTTACGGCAGTTAGCGGTGAAAATGGTTGGAGTAGTGATGAGCTGCATACCATCTTTGTAGAATCTTTTGAATAAATATTTTAGCAATATTAAGACTTTGTTGTAGGTTTTAATCATTCAAATCTATTTAGACTCACTAAGTGGATGTAAAAAAGTATAACAACAAACTTACTAAAAAAACTACACTTCTTTCTCAAATTTATTTTATAAAACAAACGCATTAGTGATTAAAATATGAATGATTAAGATTCAGACATAAAAAACAAACTTAATGACTGAGATCTGAATGGTTAATATAAAGACCTTTGTTAAGTGCAAACAAATG